TCTTAACAAGAAATTAAAAGGAAAATAAGAAGTCTACTATTAAAAATAAGTCATTTATATTTCTTCATAAAATTAATAACATGAATTATACATTATATATGTATAATGCATTTGAAATAATTGTTATGAGTAGTGCAAGAGTCCAACTATTCACTAAGTAACCATAAATTTTTAATTTTTCTTAATAAAGATATCATTGCAAGAGTCAAATTATTCACTAAGTAACGATATTTAATTTTTCTTAATAAAGATATCATTCAAGTAAATTAGTAGCTTCTTTGTATATTAATGCCTAATAGTAGTTAGAAGTTGGTTAATTCATCTCTTTATATATATATATTATCATGAGCTTATAAATATATATAATACCTTTTGTTTGGAAAAAAGAAAGAAAAAAATGCATTATCCATGAAAGTGAAAGTATTCAATTTTATATCTATTCTACATGATAGATAACTCAATATTATTAATAGATGTTACATCAATTATTTTTATTTTCTTATATTTTTTCTGATTATCTACATCGTATATACACATAAAATTCCGCATATACAAGACGATATGATACTTTTCTATAACAATTATTCATAACTTTTTTTCGTATTTTCTATTGACATCTTTCACTATTATTTTCATTTAATTGTTTTAAAGAATCTAATATCCATTATTAATAAGAAAAAATTAGATAAAGAATCAAAAATATGATGTGATACCTTTTTACGGTCAGTATTTTTATTTATTTCTTTCTTAATTTTAGTTTTTTATTTGTTCCATTTATTTATTGTATTAAGAAACTATTGAAGAAGATAAGGAAAAAGATAATGTCTAGTATTAACAATAGGTAACTATCTATAACTATAATAGATAAATGTTAAAATTAAAAGAAAAATAAATAATTATTTAAGAGGAAAAACAAGTCTTAGCTATAATTAAAATAGAATTTATGTTTTATTTCTATTTAATTTATAAAAAAATCATTCTAAATTATTTATTAAAGTTTCCTAGTAACTCATATGCATGAATCCAAATTAGTCTAAATTCAAAGTATATTAGTTATGGGAAATGAAAAATAGTAGCATACGTCAAAACGTTCTTGGCATTTCTTAGGTAGTAAGAAACAGATGACGGTTCACCCACCGTAGAAATTTTCCATTTTCCCCGCCCCCACACCATACGAACTAACTGGTGCCGCTCCATTCAAAGCTATTTATAGCTACTTCACACCATTAATGGTTTTCAATCACTCTTCATTTTTTCTCACTTCACAATTCACAATTACTCAAATTTCCATGGCTTCCAATACTAACGAAGTTGCAGTTGATATGACCCCCTTTTTCGTCCTCTACAAGAATGGCACCATCAATCGACTCCGTCCAGCAGACAATGCTCCGCTTTCTGATGATCCACAAGCCCCTGTCCGATCCAAAGATGTCGTAGTTCACCCGGAAACAGGGGTTTCCGTACGTATATTTCTCCCCAAAATTACCGACCCGAAACAGAAAATCCCCGTCGTTATTTACATTCACGGCGGGGCTTTCTGTATGGGATCAGCTCGTTCCTCCACATTCCATAATTTCATCAGCTCTGTAGTCGAAAAGGCCAATTTCATCGCTGTTTCAGTCGATTATAGACTTGCCCCGGAAAACCCTTTTGATACTACCTACGATGATTCGTGGGCAGCATTTCAATGGATAATTTCACATGCTAATGGAAAAGGTCCAGATTCATGGCTAAATGATCACGCTGATTTTGCAAAATTGTTTATTGGTGGAGAAAGTGCTGGCGCAAATATTGCTAACGACGTTGTCGTTAGAGCAGGGGTTACTGATCTCGATTCGAAAATCAAAATTTTGGGGCTTTATTTGGTTCATCCGTATTTCGGGATTGAAAATGATCAACTGTACAAGGCTTTGAATCCGACAAGAAATGGTGGATGCTTTGAAGATCCGAGGGTAAATCCATTGATAGATCCGAGGTTGAAATCGATGGCGTGTAAGAAGGCCCTGTTTTTCGTGGCGGAGAAGGATCCTCTGAAAGAAGGGGCGATGAATTATTATGAGGGGTTGAAGAAGAGTGAGTGGAATGGAGAAATTGAGGTAATGGAGACAAAAGGAGAAGGCCATTGTTTCCATTTCTTTAAACCTAAGTCGGAGAAAGCTGCTGAACTTGTGAATAAACTAGTTGATTTCTTGAAGCAAGAGTAGTAGGTTTGTTTTAAGGTTATTTTGCCTGAATTCTACTACTTTTTTTACATATATTTAAATAATAACATGTTGATTTTGTGGTTCTTGGTATTTGAATTTTGAGCTCTAGCAATAGATTTAAGACCAATAATCCTTAAAGTAAGTTTTCTTGTAAAAGCTATGCTTATGTGATTATAAGCGGAATAGCAAGAGCTAGATCAGATCCTATCTTTATAAAAATTATATATATATGTTTACATGTATGTGATGAGGTAGAATTGCGTTTTGTGCTAATTGAACACTTGAATATATGATATACTCCATCTCAACACCCAATTTTCTTTGGTTAATGTAACAACACGCATTTCATTTTTTTCTTGTGGTTCCAAATTTGAGCTATAGCAAAATATCTTAAACCAAGAATCAGCTCAACACCCAATTTCCTTTGGTTAATGTAACAACACACATTTCACCTTTTTCTTGTGGTTCCAAATTTGAGCTATAGCAAAATATCTTAAACCAAGAATCAGCTCAACACACAATTTCCTTTGGTTAATGTAACAACACGCATTTCACCTTTTTCTTGTGGTTTCAAATTTGAGCTATATCAAAATATCTTAAACCAACAATCAGCTCACCACCCAATTTCCTTTGGTTAATGTAATAACACGCATTTCACCTTTTTCTTGTGGTTCCAAATTTGAGCTATGCAAAATATCTTAAACCAAAAATCAGCTCAACACCCAATTTCCTTTGGTTAATGTAACAACACGCATTTCACTTTTTTCTCGTGGTTCCAAATTTGAGCTATATAGCAAAATATCTTAAACCCAGAATCAGCTATGTACGTCTGGTAAATATTTACTGAACTGTTGCTTCCTTCCTGTTTTTGAGAATGGTAAAATATAGTGGCGGAGCTATTCTATCTCGTACAGATATTAGATAGGTGTAAAACAAAATTTATATGTGTGTTGAATTTTCTTATCCTTTTGTATGTTTTCTATATATTTAGATTTTTTATTTTAATAAAAAACATGGCTCCGTCGTGAGTAGTACCGTAGGTGGGTCCATGAGGCAGGACCATACAACAAAAATCAGTTAGAGAATTAAATGTCACCAAATTATAGTCACATAAATTTAATTTCTGGTAGCGTTGGCCTTTCTTTTTATATATAAACATTGTCACATACTCACATTGGTGGAATTGTTGTTCTAAGTCTAGATTGTCAAATTGTGACCCCGCAAGTTAGGTGATTTCTTTGCCAAGCTTTGTACTCCTAAGTCATATGCCCTTCTTTTTTCGCTCTTTATATAAGCTTGGAAACAGAGATCCTGAGTTAATTTCTCATACGATCACTCAACTTTGTTTTGTAAGGAAAAATTTAGTTAACAAAAATAATTTTGAACGGGAGATCTCCATTTAGGAAATCACATGCTCAACTCTTTGCGGGTTAATTGAGTTTAAGTTATATAAAGTAAGCTCTTTGATTAATTGGTATTTGGAGAGAACTCTCCGGATTTGCGAGCCCATAAGCATGTGTGATGAGTCAGGTAGAAAGAATAGTCTAAGAGAGATAAAAAAGAAGAAGAAACAAATAAAATAAAGACACTATATGTCTTTATGATGTATATTAGATAGAAAAAATAGTATATGGTCTAAGAGAAGAAAAGGAAACAGACAAAATTAAGACACTATATGATGTATCAGTTAGAAAGAATGGTCTAAGATAGAAATTGAAAAGAAACAAACAAAACTAGACATTATTATATGATGTGTAAGATAGAATAGTCTAACAGAGAAGGAAAAAAAAAACACTAATGTAAGACAAAAACTATATAGAAATAATTTCTTCAGTGACGACCACTTTGAGATTTAGATTATTTTTTTCCCCTCTTCGTATCTTTGAATTGCTGTAAGAAATAGGTCAAGTAATTGGAACTTTGATGTAACATTAACGGTGATAAGAGAATAACCTAGTAAACGCAACGGGCCTACCTCGTCACTTCGGGCTTTATTATAGGAATAATCAGACCATTTGATTCACTATCTTCTTCTCAACCTTTCCTTGATCACCGGACTCTACCTTCTCGAAATCTCACAAGATGCTATACAAGACGATCCTTTTTTGACTATTTCATTCATCCTATAACTAAACAACTATTTATTCTTAGAAAAAATTGTAGGAGTAACATATGATATATCCAACAACAACCTCCTACATCCAAACAGGACGTGTCTTACTTGCCACACCGGATAATATATATCACAATGTATAAAATGAAATGGAAGAGTACTAATTCTTACTACGCTAATTCAATAACAATAACATATTCAATGTAATTTTATAAGTGGATCTGAATGATCAATTTAATTTCATAGAAAGACTATTTCGGATAGCAAAATCAATTTACCGATGCAATTTGTGCAGGTCAATGAAAACACCTCGTGAGTCAATCACGGCACCCGATCTGCCACGCTTTAATTACCTACCTACCACACACACAAAACTGTTGGTTCTCTAATTTGGGTCGCAAACAAGTTCTATAAAATCTATTCATTAATTCACCTACTTCTATAACTCAAATTTTTTATATTTTTTTTTACCGTGGTTTCCGGGCGTCGCTTTGCGAACCCGACTAGCTGTACCCACCGGATCCCGCTGTTTCAAGGCGGGTCCACCACGGTTAGTTCCACGGGGCCCTGGAGACGCGGCCGGTTTGTAATGCCTCCAGTGGCCCTGCTGGGGCTCGAACCGGCGACCTGAAGGACTTTGTCCCAGGCCTTTACCAGCTGAGCTACCCCTCAGGGTTACTTCTATAACTCAAATGGCACTACATTTCACTCATCTTCATTTTCCTTTATTATTTCTAATAATTACTATCTGCCTATGTATATCTTCAACCTTTGCTGTAAAACCCCAGAATTTTTATCCATTTTTCAAAGTTGATGCTGATGGAATTATTCACAGGTATCAACACATCAAGTTAGTCCCTCCATCAAACAATCCCAAAACTGGGGTTCAATCCAAAGACGTTACAATTTTGCCCCAAAAAAACGTATCAGCACGACTTTACCTTCCTAAAATCAGTCGAAAAAACCAAAAATTTCCTCTGCTTTTTTACATCCACGGAGGCGGCTTCTGTACTCAATCAGCATTTTCTTCCATGTACGATAGTTACCTCCACAAGCTAACCTCTGAGGCTAATGTAATCATCGTATCAATCGATTACAGATTAGCCCCAGAGCATCTAATCCCCGCGTGTTACGATGATTCATGGGCTGTCCTGAATTGGGCTGCACAAGGAACAGAGCCCTGGCTTAAAATACACGCCAATTTTTCGCGTGTTTTCTTAGCTGGTGATAGTGCTGGTGCTAATATTGCACACAACTTAATGGTTCGGGCAAGTGAGGAAAGCCATTTTGTCGCGTCATTAGTAGGAATGGCACTGATTGATCCTTATTTCGGTAATGGTAAGCCTGATTCACTATGGACGTATTTATGTCCCAAAAGTAATGGGATTAATGATTCGAGATTCAATCCGGCAGCTCATAGGAGTATGCTGTCGGAATTGAAATGCTCGAAGGTTTTAGTTTGTACTGCTGGCAAAGATTTTTTGAGAGACAGGGCTTGGACTTATTATGAGACTTTGAAGAAAAGTGGGTGGAAAGGTCAATTGGGGATAAAGGAGATAGAAGGGGAGGGACATGTCTTCCATTTATTTAACCAAACTTCTGAGAAAGCTAAGGTCTTGATGAAATCCATAGTCCACTTCTTAGCCTAGCGCCAAATTCAGAATCTAGAGTTAGTAAGTTCAAAATGAGAATAAATTTACCCTTGTTTGTGTATCATGAAACGTAATATAATGCAGTGTATTGTCATGTGTTGGGATACCAAAGGTGTGGTTGTGATGGTTCATCTTAACCCGCTAAAATTTCATGCCGTTCCACTTTGCATACCAATTATTTCATATTCAACCAATCCGCTTTGTTTAAATTTTACGGTTCTTTTCAAATTACTTTGGATAGTTCAAAAATAATTTCAATTTGTATTCATTTCCAAACATAACTTCAATTTTAAACTACTATACTGAAAACATTTTTAAACTTATAGCAAACTATTAGTTTCGTCCATTCATAAAAAGCCGAAAGAACAATTGAAAACACTCCTAAACTTGACAAGAATTTAGGGTGTATTTCACTTATCTAGTAAGAAAGTTCATTAAATGGTATTTTAAAGGCTATCAATAGCTATTAATAATGAAACTAATAATTTGTTTAGAGTTTAGAGATATTTTATGATTTCTCTCCTAAAATAATTTCGGAAAGATGATTTGCTAGCTATTGCATAGAAGCAGAGATTTTACCATGTGCTCATTAAAATGATAGCGATGGTGGGTTTCCCTTTTATCAACAAAAAAATCGAACAAAAAAAAAGGTTTATGGCGTTTGAGCCAATGAGGAAGATACTGCGGAGACTACAATGTCCACTTAACCTACTCTTCAAAAATTTAGGCATAAAGACAAAAACGCCTAATAATTATAATCAATCTCACCCTCCATTTTGTATCCCCTTAAAATCTCCACATCACATTTACATCGCATTATTCCATCTCCATCTTACTGCAAACTTTAATCAAACAATGGATGCAAAGGAAATTGCTTATGATGTCCCAATGTTTTTTAAGGTCTACAAAGATGGCAGTATCGAAAAGTATCGGAAACATGATTATGCCCCTCCTTCCGATAATCCAATCACCGGTGTTCGATCCAAAGATATCGTCGTCCTACCGGAGAACAATGTAACGGTACGCCTTTACCTTCCTAAAATAACCCAAAATGATGATCAGAAATTTCCACTCCTTGTGTATTTCCATGGGGGAGGGTTTGTGATCGAATCGGCGTTTTCTACTTACTATCATAGTTATCTCCACTCTCTAGCTGCAGAAGCCAATGTACTTATCGTGTCTGTCGAGTACCGATTAGCCCCTGAACACAAAATTCCTGCCTGTTATGATGATTCATGGGCTGCCATGAAATGGGTCTCTCAGCAGGCCAATGGTGAACAGGGATCTGAACCATGGCTGAAAAGTCATGCTGACTTCTCCCGAGTTTTCTTGTCAGGTAAATGTGCGGGTTTGGTCAAATTGAATTGGTTTTCGGATTAAGTTAGTTTCGGATGACGTATTTTTAGATCAATAAACGAGTCACGATCCAAAATGATTTTTACTGGATTGGATGAGGATGGACAGATGACAAAGCATAAGTCAACCCACCCAAATTGATCCAATCTTCATACTTTTTTATGCGTTTTGACAGAAAATACGAAAACTAATACTCCCTCCGTTTCACAAAGAATGACCTCCTTTCCTTTTTAGTCAGTTTAAAAAAGAATGACCTCTTTCCTTTTTTGGTAACATTTTACTTTTTGTTTTCCACGTGGCATGTTTAAGACCACAAGATTAAGGGCAATTTTGTACATTTGACATAACTTTAATTTAGGATCACAAGTTTCAAAAGTCTTCTTTATTTACTTAAACTCCGTGCCAAATCAAACCAACTCATTCTTTGTGAAACGGAGGGAGTAGAATATTATCTTCATATTTGATTCCATGTGCTTGTATTTAGGTTGCATTTTGATCAATCGCGTTACTTGTTTTGCTCCAATATTTATGAAGTTTATTTTTGGGTTCAAACTTGAGCGCATTGAGTGAGTACTGAAATTGTATTGATTTTGTCACAAAAGGTGATAGTGCAGGAGCAAATGTTGCTCATAACATGATGATGCGAGCTAGTGTAGATGAAGATAAACTTGGAGATGGGTTAAAACTTGTCGGAATGGCATTAGTTCATCCCTATTTCGGGAACGATGGGCCAGATAGAATTTGGTCGTATTGTTGCCCAGAAAATCCCAAAACTGATGACCCAAGATTCAATCCAGCAGCACATCCAAGTTTGCTATCGAAGCTTGTTTGTTCCAAGATTCTGATATGCACCGGGGGAGCGGATTTTATAAGGGACAGAGGGTGGACATACTATGAGTCCCTGAAGAAATGTGGATGGAAAGGTGAAGTGCAACTTAAGGAAACAGAAGGGGAAGAACATGTTTTTCATTTGGTTAAGCCAACTTGTGAGAGAGCTAAGGCCTTGATGAAATGGCTAGCTGATTTCTTTAAACAATCAAGCTGAATACTTGTTGGGTAGAATTTATGTACTATTTCAGTTGCATCTCTTTTCTTTTTATTGATCAAATAAGTAGCTGTTTGGACTTGAAATTGAAATTTCGTTTGGACTTGCAATTGTGGCAGGAGATATCATTTTCACTATCACAGTCATTAACTGGAGTCACTGGACTCTCCATTTATGGAACATCTTGTATTTGTCTTTAAAAAATAGTACTTTATTTAATTTAGGACCAAATAACTTGAAAAAATTAGATAATTTTCAACTCATAAGCTTCAAATCCAACTCCACTATACCTCCAAAAGAAATTCATTCTGGACAATAGAACTTGCAGTGGTCATTACGTATGGACTACGCTCACTTGAATTGTTTGTATATATAACTTATAAGGTGATGATATTGGGGAGAATCAATGAGGACAAAAGAAGTCTCTGTCCTCTAGAAACATTACTACAGATGCCGAGTTAAAATATAATGCCGTCCTTATATTTAACTCTTATATATTATAAAATATGGAGTAATTCTATTATTTATAGTATACTTTTTTTATATGTTTGAATTTTATTTTAATAAAAAGATCTAATCAATGTCGAGTGAAAACGAAAGGAGGGATTATCTGTGTTAGCATTCATCATTTTCTCAATCAAATCATATAATTACTCAATAGCAAATATGATATACTTGTTGGAACCCTAAAATAGTAATCTATTGGACCTTTGAAAACTAATCTTTAACATTGGATATATGTAATATGAGTAAGACGGAATATAAGACATAAAAATTTAAGTTTTCGAATATACAATTAAAAAAAAAATCGAAAGAAAAATATTTAAAAAATTGGTTGGCCGCCCAAACTATATGTTTAGGCAAAGAAAAAATAATTTACACAAATTATTGCTTTTAAAAGTAGCTGTCACAGCACTGGTGTATAGTAACACCAACCTTCTCTTGTAACTTACCCTTTAGCAATGGCGGAAATAGTACATGATTTTTTCCCATTGATGAGAGTTTACAAAGATGGTCGAATCGAAAGGCTGATGGGAGAGGGTTTTGTCCCACCTGAATCGGATCCTGAAACTGGAGTACAAATCAAAGACATTGAAATTGATCCACAAATTAACCTATCAGCAAGACTCTACCTGCCCAAAAATGTCGACACCGTTCAGAAAATTCCCCTTTTCGTCTACTTTCACGGCGGTGGCTTTGTGATAGAATCTGCTTCTTCACCTTCATATCACAAGCATCTTAGCACGGTAGCAGCTGAAGCAAAAGTCGTCATCGTTTCTGTTAACTACAGGTTAGCTCCTGAGTACCCGTTACCCATAGCTTATGAAGATACATGGCTAGCTCTCAAATGGGTCGCTTCACATGCTAATGGTGATGGCCATGAGCCATGGCTAAAAGACCATGCCGATTTCAATCGGGTTTATTTTGGGGGAGATAGCGCCGGTGGTAACATCGCACACCATATAGCAATTCGGGTCGGGTTGGAAAAGTTGGATGGTGTGAAACTTGAAGGGATTTTCCTTGCCTGTCCATTTTTCTGGGGGAAGGATCCGATTGACGGTGAGGGGGAAAACCTGGGTGCCAAGGGTTTCGTTGAGAAGCTATGGCTGTTTGCGAATCCGAATAGCTCGGGATTAGATGACCCGTTGATTAACCCGGAGAAGGATCCGAAATTGTCTAGCTTAGGATGTGATAAAGTACTTGTGTATGTGGCCGGAAAAGATCCGTTGAGATTCAGGGGATTTTACTATAAGGAGGCGTTGGAGAAGAGTGGGTGGCCGGGGACGGTGGAGGTTGTGGAGGTTAAAGATGAGGAACATGTTTTTCACCTGTTTGCTCCAGAAGCTGAAAATGGGATGGCAATGTCGAAAAAATTGGTCTCTTTCCTTAATCAGTCCTAGGCCTTTTAATCATGGAATTGAGTACTATTTTCATGAATGAATTGGATGTAAATTGTTAAAGATCTTCTCTCGAAGAAATATTTCTCTTTTTATCGAATTAAGTTCGATCAATAAATGTTGAATCATTTAAAATGGTAGTTTATTATACTTTGTTAATTAACTTTTGTTTATTGAAATTGCAAGTACCGACAAAACCTTCAATTTCAAATCAATCTAATTTCAAATTGCTTATTAAAAGATCATGTCTAAATAACTATATTTTGACTTGTGATCCATTAATAGATACCAATAGAAAATAAATAATGCATAGTAGTTATTTTTTCTTGTATAACAAAATTATTAGTTACCCGTTGGATTTCTTCAAGACATTTCCTAATTAACAATTTACATGAATCATTAATTTTCTTATCATAGAGTTTCTCCTTTATTCATATAATTTCGTATTTTAAAAATACTTCACCCGTTTCAATTAGTTGACCATCTTACTAAAAGAAGTTGTCTTATATTAGTTGATCACCTTACTAAATCAAAAAAATATTAATTAGATTTTTTCTATATTACCCTTGTAATTAATTCATTTGAAAGTGTTCAAACTTGTTTGACAATTCCCTAAGAGCTTGTTTGCAAAGCCCATCGTGATAATTGAATTTGGTGTAATTGCATTGTTTATCCTGTTTGATTGGGCATGTAATTGAGTGTAATTGACAGGGTGTAATTATACTCTCCAATTCACGATGGGGGGGGGGGGGGTTGAATTGTTGGTGATTACATTGTGTACTTTTAGTTTTTATGATTAATATTATTAAAAGTATACTAAATTGAAAAATATAAATCAATTATTTTTTATTATATAGTTAAGAACATATGTTTATTAATTAATATATTTTCATGAGACAATATATATCTTAAATATTCAATTTAATATCATTTATTAAGTCCCTTATTTGTCTAATATACAATTTTAATTTATATTTTTAAAATGCAATATAACCTTATGATTACACTTGTAATTACATTGTAATTGCACTGTGACAAACAAACATGTCAGCGTAATTACTATCCTAGTAATTACACCAATTTCAATTACCTGCTAGCTTTCCAAACCAACCAAAGTTTTTTAACATGTGAATTAGTAAAATTATCTTTTTATTTGTGATTTTTTAATATGCGTACAAAAAGAAAAGTGATCAACTAATATAGGACGAAAGAGAGGTTTTCGAAATCCCGACGGCGATTTAGTTTTTTTTTTCAGGCATGCTGCCGGCATACGGCCAGCCATCGCTAATGGATAGTCTGGCTACTGCAATTTCTACACCCACAATTGTCCACATCCCCTTCTAGGAACAGGTATGCTGATATTATTAGAGGTCATGATGCAAATTACAAAAAGAAAGTTGATGTTGCAGTAGATCCTATTCCTATGAAGAAACCACACCTCATTAATGGTTTACCTACCATTCATTGGATGGCAAAAGAAATACAAAGAATGAATATTATTGAGAATTTGCAATATGTTGTGGTTGAAAAATTCTCATATGGAGCTCCTGAGATTAATGAAATAAGAGAACTAATCCCAAAACAATGTGGAATCATTGGGGGATGTCAGATAGGTTATCTGAGAAATAGGCATATTCTAATGAGATTTGACTGTATTGAAGACTACATTAGAATATTATCTAAGAATTCATATTACATAATTGCTAAGGATGGTTATGCATATCAAATGAGGCATTTTATTTACGATGCCAACTTCAAGGTTAGTGAGGAGACATCACATGCAACTACATGGATTTCCTTTCCAGACTTACTTCCAACTTTCTTTGTGGAGAAAGTTTTGTTATCTCTTGCGTCTGTTGTTAGGAAGCCTTTACAGCTAGATCTTGCTACAATAAATAAGACGCGTCCAAGTTGTGCTCGAGTAAAGGTCCAATTGGATTTACTTACTGATAAACCTGAATTTGTGCAGATGCAGTTAGAAAATAATGACATTCAAGAAAATTCAATTGTTAAAATAAAGATACAATATGATTCATTGCCTGCTTATTGCAAGTAGTGTAAATTACAAGGGCATGCAGAAGATGATTGTAGAGTACTACACCCAGAGTTGGTGCAACAACACAATGGGGATAGGCCAAAAGAATCACAACATATTGACAACAAACAACTCTACAAAGGGGCTATAAAAAGTAAATGGAAACCTACTAATAAAACAATTAGAAAGAGAACTGGAGAAATTATGAATGTTAAAGTAGTGGAAAGTGCAGAGGTCATTAGCAATATCAATTATTTTGATGTTCTGAATCAACAAAATCAAAATGAAGAGGAGGCCATAGAGGTAGGAGCTTCAAATAAGATGCAACAAGGAGGTGAGCTGATTAATAAGGTGAATTTACCAAAAAGTCAAACCAACATAAAAGAGGTTGCTTTGGAGAAAGCAGACATGAAAGATGGCGAAATAGCTGAGAATAAGGTGGAAGAAGAAGAGGTTGATGATGTTGAGGTTGTGTTGAATACAACAATAAGTGAGACAAAAGATGTGAACAAGGAGGAAGAGAGGGATGATGGCGGTGAAATAAATAAGCAGCAGTTGACAATTGTGGACAGTGACTTAGAGCTTGCAGATTATGACATTCCTTTACAGATTATGAAACCAAAAGAAGATTGACATCCTTCACTGTTACAGAGGCACCTTCTAAAGAGTGGTGAAGAGGAGGATCACAACATTCTGACTGTCGTTTGCCCCAAGTCACAGCCTGTCCAGATGTTACATGAAATGGTTTCTCATCAAGGTTCTGGGAAACAACAAGTAGCACAATTCATTGAGAATGGTGCAGCAGAAGATAAAGATGAAATAGATTCGTTGCAACCTGATAACAGAGTGTTTAAAGAGGCAGGAGTAAAACCTTCAACATCAAGCAAACTCAAAGGTAAAGGTAAATGTGAAATATTACCTACAAGATCTAATCCAAATAGAGGGACAATGAGTGGATCGAAATGATGATGAAGACTTTGTTTTGGAATGTGAGATCAGTCAGATCTCAAAATTCATTCCACAAAATACAAATGTTACAAAGACATCATAAGTTTTCTAGCATAGCTTTGATGGAGCCTTTTCAAAGAACTAACAGCATTCAAAGATACAAAAGGAGATTGGGAATGGAGTATGCTAATCATAATTGCAACGAAAAGATTTGGGTGTTCATTTTTTATCAATTCCAGGTGGAGGTTTTGTAAGACTCTGAGCAAATGCTGACTCTTAGTCTGAAGTTCATGGAAAATAATTAATTTTTTGTTGTTTCTATGTTATATGCAAAGTGTGATGCTGAGGAGAGGTTAAATTTGTGGAATGATATTTACTGCATTAGTAATTATATTAGCAATTCACCCTGGCATATTGGGGGGATTTTAATGTCATTATGAGTGATGAGGAAAAGTTTGGGGTCTGCATGTATACCCTGATGAATATGAGGACTTTGCTTTTTGTGTAAACTCATGTGAACTGGTGGATGTCAATTTCAAAGAAAGTCCTTTTACATGGTGGAATGGAAGGATAGATAATCAGTGTATTTTCAAAAGGCTTGATAGGTTCTTTATGAATCAGACATTTATGGGAAAGTTTGGGATAGTAGAAGTAGAACATTGATAAGGTCTGATCATGCTCCTATGTTGCTTACTTATGGTCAACAGAATCATTATATCAGAAGACCTTTAAGATTTCTCAAATTCTGAACAGAAAAAACAGACTTTCAGCAGATTGTACAAGAAAGTTGGGTGTCAGATGAGGTGGATGTGTTTATAAATTGGACACAAAAGATGAAGAAGACTAATGTTGCCTTGTCAAACTAGAGTAACGTATCTTTTGGAGATATCTTCAAACAATTATCTATTAGGGAGGAGATTGTTAGAATGAAAGAAGAATTATTTGAAGCTGCCCCTATTGCTGATAATAGAAGAATACTACATCAGGCTCATGCAGAATTAAAGAAATATGTGCATTTTGAAGAAGAATATTGAAGACAGAAAACAGGTATTCAATGGTTTACAGAGGGGAAAAAATACAATGTTCTTTCGCAATCTAGTGAAGGGCAGGGGAAAGAGCTTGAATATTAACAGAATACAGAATATGGGAGAAGTATGGGTGGAATGAGTGGAATAGGTAGTAAGAGCTGCTCAGGAGTTTTTTCAAAAGCAATTCACAGGCCATCATAATGGTGAAAATGCCTCTTTATTGAGATATATTTATCCAAGTATTAATGCAGGGGCCAACAGTAAACTGAATGAACAACCTACAAGAGAGGAGGTAAAGAAAGTTGTGTTTGATCTTAATGGAGACAATGCAAGTGGCGCTGATGGTTTTTCTGGGTATTTTTATCAGCATTGTTGGGATATTGTTGGTGATGATGTAATTGTTGCGGTTAGTGCCTTCTTTAAATGGGACACTCTTCCTAAGTCTATTACTCATACTAATTTGGTTTTTTTGCCTAAAAAGGACATAATTCAGTCCTACTCAGACATGAGACCAATTAGTCTAAGTAATTTCATTAATAAAGTAATTTCTAGGGTGATGAATGATAGAATTGAGATGGTACTTCCATCTTTGAATTCCCAAAATCAATCAGGTTTTGTGAAGGGGAAGAGTATCACTGAGAATGTTTTATTGACCCAGGAAATTATAGGTGACATAAGTAAGAGAGGTAAATCAGCAAATATAGTCATCAAGCTGGATATGGCAAAGGCTTATGACAGGGTTGATTGGAGTTTTTTTATAAAAGGTGTTGGAAAAAATGGGCTTTGATGCTGGTGTTGTGGGTAAAATTTGGAGATTGGTTGCTAACAACTGGTATTCTATCCTACTCAATGGGCAGGCTACTGGTTTCTTTCACTCTACTAGGGGTTGAAGCAAGGGGACCCTCTATCTCCTACTTTATTTATTCTTACTGCTGAAGTACTGTCAAGAGGTTTAAAGGTTTTGTTTTGTAATGAGGTCTACAAAAGTTTTGGGCTACCTAAATGGAGTGATCATATAAATCATCTTGCATATGCAGATGATACTATTATCTTTACTTCTGCAGATGGGAAATCTTTAGACTTATTGATGAATGTTCTGAGGGAGTATGAAAAACAGTCAGGGCAGAAAATAAATATAGAAAATGGCTTCTTTTTTTGTATATCATAAGACAACACAGAACTTGATCTCTAGTGTTGAAGAAAATACTAGTTTTATTAGAGAAAAGCTTCCTATGATGCATTTGGGTTATCATATTGGTGATGCTAAAAAGAAAAAAAATACACTTTTCTGAATTGATGAAGTAGGTTCATAACAAACTGCAAACATAGAAAGGGAAATTACTGTCTTTTGGAGGTAAGGCAGTATTCATTCAAAATATTTTAAATAACATTCCTATTTGTCTCATGTCTGTTATTATACCCCCAAGATGTGTCATTCTAGACTTGCATAGAGTCTTTGCTAAAAAAAAATTGGAAGTTTAGAGATGTAGGAAATAACAAGCATTGGGTGTCTTGGTCTGAGCTCTGTAAACCTAAGGAAGAAGGTGGATTGGTTATTTAGAACACAAAAGACATTATGGTCAAATTTTATGTGGAATAAATATTGCAAAAAAGAAAGGCCACAATTGGTTGAATGAAAAAGTGGTTCATTAACCTGGAAGTATATGCTAGAGGTTAGAGATTTGATAAACCAAAATATTTGGTGGGAACCTAAAAATGTTCATTCAAGTGTCTGGTATGACAACTGGACACAGTTAGGAGCACTCCACTACATATTGCCTATAGATACTGCTAAACACATGCAGTTGGAAGAAGTTAGACAATGTTATTTGAATGGGGAGTGGAATTCTCACATGCTGCAAACTAGTTTTGGGGATGAAGTTAGTAGACATATCATACAGTTGGGAAGAAACTCCGAAGATGATGAACAATGGGACAAACCTTGGTGGATACTAAAGACAGATGGAAAATTCTCCATAAGTTCTACTTGGGACTTTCTGAGAGAGAAACATGGGATTTGTAAGAACTTCAACTATATCTAGAATAAATGAATCCCTTTTAAATATCCTTTTTCATATGGAGACTTTGGAAACAAAGACTTCCTATAGGAGAGGTTCTTGTCAGAAATAGGATGTGTGATAGGGTGGTTTGTTGGTGCTGTGAGGATGGAGTTCAGAAGACTATCGAACACCTCTTCTTTAATTGTGCAACATCTAACTATGTATGGAGATATTTTGGAGGCATGGTAGGAGTAGAAGGTCCTTTTTTGCAGTTGAAAGACAGTGTTTATAAATGGTGGAATACATATGCTTCAACACAAGTTAAACCATTATTATAGTTGTGCCAATGTTCATTTTGTGGCAAATATGAAAAGAAGAAATGTTATTAAATTTGGAGATTTTATGTCTGCTATGACATGAGAGGAGGTATAGTAAAAAATTTAGTGTTATTGGCAAATCATTTATATCCTTGGATACATAGGATACCTAATAACTGGCCTGATTTGGTAAGATACTTGGCATACTATACTCCTAGGATAGGTTGTAAGGTGGTTTATTGGAACCTACCAAGGGAGAATTCCTTCAAATACAATACAGATGGGGCCTTAAAAGGTAATCCTGGGCCAAGCTCTGCTGCCTTTTGTGTTCGAAATTATCAAAGTGATCATATACATGCTGAAACAAAAGTGATTGAAGTGGCAAACAACCTAGTGGCAGAAATTGTAGCACTGAGATTAGGACTGGTTAGAATTTATTTCCCCTGGTTATGGAAACTGATTCATTAGCTACCAAGAATATGATAGATGGTTTGTGGAACTTCCCTTGGGAGGTGGCATTGGAGATAAGAAGAATTCAAGTTCTTAACGAAGGGTTGGAGGTGGCAGTTGAACATTCTCTGAGAGAGGGAAACAAACTGGCGGATTTTATGGCTAATTTTGTGTTTTCTTTTGCAGGTACTGACACAATTAGTTTTACTAGTTTCCAAGATTTACCTAATGAAGCTAAGACTTTATTAAACATGGACAAAAGCAAAATTCCTAATCTAAGGATACGAAAGCTACACAATACAGGGAGTGAGCACAGTGACTGATACAAAATTCGAATTGCTTGACATCTCTAAATCTCAAGTCAAAATAAGAGCCCAGAGGTCATACAAAGCAGAAACAACACACACAAAGGGAAGATGCTCGCAAATCAGAAATAAATAAAATATAATTAACAACGTACTTGACGTAAATCAGAGTAAGTTTATCCCAAAGAGCCCTTTGTTGGGCTCAATCTGTCAAGGATAAGGGATCAAAGTTATGAAGGTTACTTTAGGTGAAAAAAATAACCATGAGATCAAGGAAATCACCTAGCTTGAAGCTTCTTTGCAGATACTCTGAGGTGGAGAAGTTTCCGATTGGGATGATTTCGCGATGTTGGTGGGACTTGTCAACGTCCAAAGTGAAATACACCCAAAACTCAAAATACAGGTTGGTTGTTTCAAGGCGGTCAAAGATGGATCAAGAAGAAGGAGCATGGTGAGAGCTTTTGTAAACTTAAGATTGCTGAAATAGGGACCAAATGGAAGGAGCAACTCAGGAGGAAGCTGCAAGAACTCAAAGAACGTTCCTCTTTCTATTTAGGATTAGCTTTCCAAATTAGATTTTTCTCTTTGTTATTTGGATCGGGTCTATTATGGGCTTGGTATTAATTTGTAACTTTTGGTTCCTTTTAATAAATGGGGCCTGCCCCATCCTTTAATTAAAAAAAAAATATAGGACGAAGGGAGTAATTGACCCAAGTGCTATCTTAATCCAAGACTTTGCTATTTCAGATACACCAATCTGAAATATTGATACTTGCTCTTTAATTTGAGTGGTTAATAATGCACCTAAGTATGATATTGAGCTAGGCTACACATGAATCTAATATATATGTATATGCCTAAAATATAAGAGAAAAGTTGTTGCACACATAATTTCATTAAAGTTTGAGTGGAATATCCTTTATAAAAAAAATGGACAACTCATCAAAATTTAAGAAAATACATAAAATAACCATGATCATTTAAATCCTTTTAGACATTATTTCAAAATTGATGTGGAGCAATTACAACCTTCTCTAATATTTGAAAGAACTTAGGCGTCTGACTTAAACTTTTAAAATAATGGATAAGATATCTTAGAACATGGTCTAAAACCCATAATATTAAATTATGTTAATCATGGCTACTTATCGGAGAAAGTGGTCATATTTCATATTAAGCCACTTTTTTATGATCTAGAAAACGATTATTATTCCTTAAAATCGTCAATCTATTTTCTCGTAACTTATTATTTCATTATCTTTTAATTGGATACGAAAAATGTTGTAGAGTGAATGAAAAAGTGAAATTATTATTAAGAAAAAAGATTTTTTTATATTTATTTATTTTGAAATGAATGTTTTTTTTCATTTTTGTGGAGTTAAGGGACTCCATAACTTGTTTGAAGAGGTAATATCTCATATGATCACTCAATTTTGAATACTCTCAACTCAGGCTTATTCACGTAGAAAGTCACTTAATTTTGTTTTATTACTCAAAAGTCACTCAATTATTGGTATTTTACTTAGAAATTCATTCAACTATTAATATTTCATTTATAAAGTCACCCAATCAACTTAATTGTTTTTTCATTAAATTTTGTTAAATTAAAATATCTATTTTAATTATCTTATCGACCCACTCTAGTTATTTAATTATATTTTTCTTCTGAAAAATGTACCGTAGCGATTGACAAAAAAAAAATTCTCTTTTCTATTCCAGCAATTGTCTAACTGGAACTAATGCTGAAAATGTTTTTTTTTTGTTTTATAAAAAAGGTTGGAATCAAGAAGTTGAGAAGTAATCCCAAAAAAAAGAGAAAAAAAACCGTAGCAATCTTATTATCTTTTTTTTAAAAATAGTTTAAAACAAAAAATATATTTAAAAAATAATTAAAATGAGCATCTTATTAGTTTTTAAAAATAAGTTTAAAACAAAAATTATATTTTAACAAAATTTAATTTAAAAATATTTAAATTAGTTGAGTGACTTTCTACGTAAAATATCAATAGTTGAGTGACTTTCTTGATGAAATACTTATAATTAAGTGACTTTTGAGTTATAAAATAAAGTTAAGTGACTTTTCAAGTAAATTAATCTAAATTAGGTGATTTTCTAAAAAAAACTATCGAAAGTTATTGCACAAATAAATGCAAATGACCATAAAAACTATCAAAATTAAATTAGAGTAAACATGTTGACCCCAAACTAGGGAAAAAAAAAAGATTTGGACATTCAATTCAAAATGCATATAATTAAAGAGCAGATTTTAAAACAAAGCAAATTCTTGGTTGTAAAAGTTATCTGTCACAGCACTAGTGTTTAGTGTATAGTATACCAACCTTCTCTTTTAGCAATGGCGGAAATAGTACATGATTTTTTTCCATTGATGAGAGTTTACAAAGATGGTCGAATCGAAAGGCTGACGGGCGAAGGTTTTGTCCCACCTGAATCGAATCCTGAAACTGGACTACAAATCAAAGACGTTGAAACTGATCCACAAATTAACCTATCAGCAAGACTCTACCTGCCCAAAATTGTCGACACTGTTCAGAAAATTCCCCTTTTTGTCTACTTTCACGGTGGTGGTTTTGTGATCGAATCTGCTTCTTCACCTTCATATCACAAGCATCTAAGCAAGGTAGCAGCTGAAGCAAACGTTGTTATCGTTTCTGTTAACTACAGGTTAGCTCCTGAGTACCCTTTACCCATAGCTTATGAAGATTCCTGGCTAGCTCTCAAATGGGTCGCTTCACATGCTAATGGAGATGGTCATGAGCCATGGCTAAAAGATCACGCCGATTTCAATCGCGTTTATTTTGGGGGAGATAGCGCGGGTGGTAACATTGCACACCATATAGCCATTCGGGTCGGGTTGGAAAAGTTGGATGGTGTGAAACTTGAAGGGATTTTCCTTGCCTGTCCATCTTTCTGGGGGAAGGATCCGATTGACGGTGAGGGGGAAATCCTGGGTGCCAAGGATTTCGTTGAGAAGCTATGGTTGTTTGCGAATCCCAACAGCTCGGGATTAGATGACCCGTTGATCAACCCGGAAAAGGATCCGAAGTTGTGTATGTGGCCGGAAAAGATCCGTTGAGATTCAGGGGATTTTACTATAAGGAGGTGTTGGAGAAGAGTGGGTGGCCGGGGACGGTTGAGGTTGTGGAAGTTAAAGATGAAGAACATGTGTTTCACCTGTTTGCTACAGAAGCTGAAAATTCCATGGCCATGATGAAAAAATTAGTTTCTTTCCGTAATCACTTCTAATCATGGAATTGGGTACTATTTTTATGAATAAATTGGATGTAATTGTTAAAGATTTTCCCATGGTAAATCTCTTTCTTATTATATTTCTCAATCTTCCGAGAATGTGGCTTATTGATTTTATGGACTATCAACAAGGTTTAATATAGAGTGATAAGTATTTCTTTGATCGAGGTCCCGGATTCTTAGGTATGAAGTGCATCTAGTTCATTAATCTGACTCTCCATTTATGGAGCATCTAGCCACACTGCTTCAACTTGTTATTTCTAAGATGGAACAAACTGTAAAAGTGATGAAAAGGAATACCACTAACATACTCCCTCCGTCCCTTTTTAGTTGTCCACTTTAGAAATGGCACACAGATTAAGGCAACAATGATTAGCACAGTGAAGTTACAATTTTACCCTTATGACAACTTTTTACTTCAAAATTACAATCACTTATTTGAATTCAAGTGAAATAAATTGGAGGGAAACAACATACACTTTTACAATTTTCAAGAAGTGTAAATAAGGGTATAATAGGAAAAAATTTGTTGTCATTTCTTGATTTGTCAAAATGGACAACTAAATAGGGACAACTAAAAAAGGAAATATGGACAAGTAAATAAGGACGGAGGGAGTACGTTTTTGTTTTATAAATAAAAATATAAAAATAATTGGAAAACCAATTTGAATTTACGATTTTGATTTTTGAGTCTTTAAGGTAAGTATGACAATTAAATAACCACATCATTTTTTAGAATGTATACTTTTAATGGAAAAGGGTCAAAATTCTCCCTGAACTATACGAAATAAACCACTTATATCCTCCATTACATTTTGGGATCAAAAATACTCCCGCAATTATCCCAGGAGACCACAAATACCCTCAAGAGTTAACACCCCAATTTTTTAGTGACGTGGCAAGCCACATGGGACTAATCCCTCCACCTAAGCATTGTCAACTAAGATTCACTACAAAAGAACTTGACTTGTCGCCACAAAATCTCAAAATATTGCCACTAAAGGCTATAAGTGATTTTTAGTAGCGACTAAGGCTCCAACAACCATTCGCTAGTAAAACCTATTTTTTCAACAAAAAAATATGATAATTAATTTTCGATTGCGACCTAATTTTCTAAAATAAATAACTTGCAATATCCATATTGAAAACATCCAATATTATTACGAAAAATAATCAAAATTACTTCTCGATTCAAATCTCCTACTATATATATATATAATGCATCATTGTACATTTTATACATTTACATATCACATAAAAATAAAACATATAGTGTCTTCAAACTCCTACTTAATCGATATCATATTTGGTTTTTAAAAACAATGAAGAAAAAAACACAAAATTAGAATTTAATGTTAAAAACTTTTAGTGACGATTTTCTGGGCTTTTGTGGCGACTGTTGTTGCCGTTAAAGGTCTAGTTCTTTTGTAGTGAATCCTAGTTGGCAACGCTTAGGTGGAAGGATTAGTCCCACGTGGCTTGCCATGTCAACAAAATTTTGGAGTGTTAACTCTTGAGGGTATTTGTGGTCTTTTCGGATAACAACAGGGGCATTTTTTATCCCAAAATGTAACGAAGGATATAAATGGTCTATTTCATATAGTTTGGGGGCAATTTTGACCCTCTTCCATACTTTTTATCGTTTATCAAGATTGTTGTCGCTCGAACACTTGTGCCGTGGACTAAGTTTTACTTATTCATGGACTATTTTTCATTTTTTATCTACATTAGTACTAAAAAACATAACATAATATTAAAAATGACAAAAGAATACCAACATGGGTTGTGGTGCATTGGTGGGAGTGTTTCACCCTTAACCAGAGGTCTCGGGTTCGAGTCCTGGGTATGGAAAAAATCATGTTAGGAGCATCACCCCCGAATGGGCCCTGCAGAGCGCGATCCGAATTTAGTCGGAGCTCCAATGTGGGATCCGGACACCGGGTGGAAAACCAAAAAAAAGAAATGACAAAAGAATTAAAGAAATGTGTGGACATACTATGAGTCCCTGAAGAAACGCAGAGCGCGATTCAGATTTAGTCGGAGCTCCAGTGTGAACTCTAAACACCGGGTGGAAAACCAAAAAAAAGAAATGACAAAAGAATTAAAGAAATGTGTGGATATACTATGAGTCCCTGAAGAAATGTGGATGGAAAATTGATGTGGAAATTAAAGAAACAGAAGGGGAAGAACATGTTTTTCATTTGGTTAAGCCAACTTGTGAGAGAGCTAAGGCCCTGATGAAATGGCTAGCCGATTTCTTTCAACAAATCAAAGCTGAATTCTTGGTTGTGTAGAATTTCTGTACTATTTCAGTTGTTTCTTTTTCTTTTTATTGATCAAATAATTAGCCTTTTGGACTTAGAATTTGAAATTATTGATTTGGATAGAGATTGATTTGAAGTTGAAATATTGTTTGGACTTGTCATTGTGACAGGAGAAATCATTTTCACTTTTAGAGCCTGTTTGGATGGGCTTTTAAGCTGGTCAAACTGGCTTAAAAGTCAGTTTTTGACTTATTAAAGTGTTTGACAATTATCAAAGTGACTTATTTTAAGTCAAAAATGATTTATTTTAAGCCAAAAGCTAAAAGCTAGGTGAGGGGAGCTTTTTTTTTTAACTTAAAAGTCATTTTATGTTGACCAAGTATATTACCTTTTTGCCCTTAATTCTTTTATACAATTTCCAAATTGCCCATATTGAATTATTATTATTATTATATTATTTTATTTTTAAAAATTATTATTATTATTTTTTTTTTAATTATTATTTTATTATTATCATTATTATTATTATTATTATTATTATTTTTATTATTATTATTATTATTATTTTATATTATTATTATTATTATTATTATTATTATTTTGTTATTATCATTATTATTTTTTATTATTATTATTTTATTATTATTATTATTATTTTATATTATTATTATTATTTTATTATTATCATTATTATTATTATTATTTTATTATATTATTATTATTATTATTATTATTATTCCTCTTATAAATAATTTGTGGTGGTAAAGAAATATGTGAATGATAGGAAAATATTATTACTTATGGATGTAAAATATAAATTAATTTTGTTTTAATTTTTTTTAAAGTATAAAAACCTTAAATTAATCAACTTTTCATCATGTTAACAACTTAAAGGGTATTTCAGACATTTTGATAAAAAAAAAAGTATTTACCCGCACTTATTTGCCAAACACATCAACAACTTTTTTTTCAACTGCAACATTTTTATCCAAACACATAATTACTTATTTTAAAAATAAGTTCCAGCATTTTAAAAAGTTACTTTTTAAAAGTTATTTTTTTTAAATCAATCCAAACGGGCTCTTAGTCATTAACTAGTCTCTCCATCTATGGAACACTTTTTTTTTTTTTGCTTAGAAGGGATGCACTTATTTTGTATGTCTTGAAAATTCATTAAATATACCTTTAAAAAAAATTACTCCATTTAGTTTAGGACTCACTCAATAACTTGAAAAAATTAAATATTTTTCAACTCATAAGCTTTAAATCCGACTCCACTATACCTCCAAAAGAAATTCTCTCTGGACAATAGAACTTGCAGTGGTCATTACGTATGGACTTCGCTCACTTGAATTGTTTGGATTTTATATATTAATGAGGACAAAAGAAGTATATGTCCTCTAGAAACATTATTATAGATGCCGAGTTAAAATAGAATGACGTCTTTATATTTTATAAAAGATAATTCTATTAATTATAATATACTTTTTTAAAATCTTCAAATTTATTTTAATAAAAGATCTAATCAATATTGAGTAGGGGTATCAAACGGACGGATTGTGTTGAAATTGGATATATTAAAATGGATTAAGGTTTGAATAGATTGAGATTGAACCAAATTCAAATTATCTTGAGTTCAATCCTTAAAATTCATGACGGATTGAGTGAGTTAGCTATAGTTGGACTCATTTTTGACACCCATAATGTTGAGTGAAAACGAAAGAGGAGATTATTTGTATCGCATTCATCATTTGCTCAATCAAATCATACAATTATTCAATAGCAAATATGTATACTTGCTTCGATCCTAGAATACTGATTTATTGGACTTTTGAAAATTATTTAAAAATTCAAACCAAAATATTTAAAAAGTTGGTTAAACTATAACCATCCTACACACAAATGTTTATACAAAGAAAGAAAGCGTGAAAGAATTCTTCTTACTTTTGGCAATCAAATAAGGATTTTAAACAAACTTCTATAATTAATTTAGAGTCCAAAATACAATATAATAATTTTTTTGTTATTTTTATTTAAATATAAATAATATGTGGATATATTATAAGAAATAAGTATTTCTAAAAATGAATAGACGGTGTAATTTTTCTTATCCATCAGTGAATAGAAGTTGATCTTATTTATAGAAGTTTGTTGAAGATTCTTACTTGATTGCCACAAATTATTGCTTTTAAAAGTAGCATTCACAGCACTTGTGTATTACTACACACACCAACCTTCTCTTGCAACTTAGCTTTTAGCAATGGAGGAAATAGTGCATGATTTTTTCCCATTCATGAGAGTTTACAAAGATGGTCGAATCGTAAGGCTGATGGGCGAAGGTTTTGTGCCACCTGAATCTGATCCTGAAACTGGAGTACAGATCAAAGACGTTGAAATTGATCCACAAATTAACCTATCAGCAAGACTCTACCTGCCCAAAAATGTCGACACTGTTCAGAAAATTCCCCTTTTTGTCTACTTTCACGGTGGTGGTTTTGTGATCGAATCTGCTTCTTCACCTTCATATCACAAGCATATAAGCAAGGTAGCAGCTGAAGCAAAA